CCAGGGGGCCTCAAGCACCTGCAGGGGCGGCTGCAGCAGAACCCCCTGCGGCCTGGGCTGTGTGTGCGGGGCCAGAGCCCGAGGAGCCGCCCGATGGGGCAGGTGGTTGTAATAAAAAATAATGGACTGCTATGAGGAAAATGTTAGGACCACGGGAGAGCTACAGGGCCTTCTAGCCACAGAAACTTAATTATTTTCCCATTCCAAAACCGCAGACTTGAACAGGGTGTTACTAAATCTTGATTTTAAAAGACAGCTGTTTCTAACCACTTCATGTTTGCTCTGATGTGTTCCAGTATGTTTTTAACATGTCCATATCTGTGCGTAAGTGGCTCTTGGCAGCGTCTCAGCACAGCCCCCCCGGCAAGGACAGGACTGTCCTGACCCAGTGCTGAGTGTCCCTGGGGACACCCGGTGCCCCCATTGCCAGCAGGTTATTGGGTGAACGCTGTGCTAAGGACTAAGGAGGTTTTTAAAAGATTTTTTTTTTTAGCATGAATGAAAAGATCTTGGAAAAGTTGTTCTAATAGCTATGTAATTATGTTTACCAAAAAAGGCTATTATTACACCTGAAAAGTTAAATCACTCCTGCTACAGAAAAACACTAATCTCCATTACCCCAAAATACAACTTAAAAAAAAAAAAAAAAAAGCCTATGAAATAGTCAGGAAATCGCTTTGCTATCGCTAGTAGAAGGTAGGTCACAGGCACTTTGAACATAAAGTCCGTCCTCTTGATTAAACCCCTCTGGCTTGTAATTATCTTATGCAATCAAAAATATACATATTTATACATATGTGTATATATATATATATGTATATCTCATAAACGCAACAGTAAATGCAAAGCACTAAATGACGCCCCACGCTGTGTGACGTGTCCGTGCGCAGGACGCGGTCTCCCGCGCGGGGCCCAGCCCAGGCCCTGCCGCTCGCCGTGACCGCGGCGGCCCCGCGGGCCGGACCCGGCTCAGCCAGGAAGACACTGACCGCATGGGACTTCCCTTGTAGTTCCAAATGAAAGCAAAATGTTGGCTAAGGTTTGAGCGCATCCCCACGGGCGGCTGCGTGCCCGGCTCCTCCTCCTGCTTCAGTGTTCTGCTCCCTGTCTTGGCCTTCAGCGTTTAATTTTTAAGCACATATAAAAAGCTGTGATTTTTATTTTCAGCCAATCATCAAATTTCAGGATTTACGTCACTGTCTCATTAGTATGAGTGAAATACAAAAGTAATGATACAACTTTCAGGCGAGTAGTTTGGATAGGATACGGATTACTGGACGGTTTTGTTTTCCTCGTTCTCGATGGCGCGAAGCCACCTGTGTGCAGCACAGCTGTGACACCCAGAGGCCAGCCAGGAAACCAGCGCTCCTGCCCACAGCACCCTCTGAATTCGATCGGCTAAGGGAATTTTCATTGCCGAAGCAGATTGCAGACGCTACTCATAAAATTTGAATAGTTTCCACTTAGGGGAAAAAAGAAAAGTCTTTGGAAACCCTCTTACTGGACCATTCCAGCAGATCCTGCAGAGCTGCCCCTGCGGCGCGTGGCTGTGTCAGCCCTGGGACAGCGCCCGGTCCTGCGGCCGAGAGGCTCCGGCTCCGCGCGGGGCCGGCGCCACCCGCCCCGCTCCGCCCAACGCTCCTAGCGGTTGTTTTCTACTTGTGAGTACTGTAGCCAGGTCAAAACCAACAGCTTACTTTATGAAAAATTTTACCATTTTATAAAAGACATGTTTAATTATGATGGAGATGGCTGTATTGTAATTAATATTTTGAGATAATTGTGATTTTGAGCTTAAATTATATACAGAAAATGGTCATTTTTGTATGTGTTAAAAGATTGCTATATTACAAATGACTAACTGTACTTTTCAGTTTAATTACAGTATTAATGTAAATAAAGCTGAATGAAGAAATATTTACTACTTTATTAACATAGATTGTGAATGTACTTAATGTTTTTTTGCAGTATAAGGACTTACTGAACTTGAAAGCTGCTTCATTTTATGTGCAAAAAGGTACTTCAAATTCTATTTTAAATCTATTGATTCAGTGAAATCAATTATATTGTTAGTTAATTTGCACATGCAGGTTGTATCCTTCCAGTTTTATTTCATGTATGACACTAAGCCGTAAGGTGCATATTGTGTTTAGAATGCATTTTGCAGATGCTTCTGTACAGAAAACAAATACAGGGACTAAAACGATGCTGTGCAGTGTATAGCAGAGCCATTTTTCGGCTTTGGTGTACCCAACTTTTTCAGTATTTAAAAAGTGTTTTGAATAACATTAAAAAGTCTCTTTATTGTATAAATAATAAAATGTCACCTTATTGTAATTAACTTTGTCATCTTTTGCTGTTGGAAAGGATCTGAGTTTTATAAAAACTCTGTCCCCTGAGTTATGGAAAAGAAGATGTTCTTTCTCTCTCCCGCTTGGCCCTTCCTGTCGCTGCCGTCGCTGCCGTCCGCGGCGGCTC